TTTCGCCAAGTGAAGTTTGCAATCGATCTAGTTACCAGTAAAATAGTCGAGTTCTGACCCTACAGTAGCGTTCTAAGTTAAGAATGAACCCAGCAGCGCGCTACCAATAAGCCTACAGTAGTGCTACCCACCTCCGCTGGTCACTTGATGTCTTTAATTGAAGAGTCTTAACAATCAAACAAGCGCAACACACGGTATATTTATTAAATCGTATACTACCATTTTCATTAAATGCATGATTATGAGCTGAAGAGGGAGACAAGCTGTTGAAAAGTGGTTGCAGCCAGCCTGGTCAATGTTGCTTTGCATCCCTACATGTTTCACGCAGCTCAGTGGGGGCTTAGAACACACAAAGAATGGGGGCGTATTTTAATTTGCAACAGGTCGCGTGCAGTGGGTGTTGGTGGTGGCTGCACTTCCAGTTATGAGGGCTCATACCGTATCTCAGAATTTAATATAGGCATATTGGTTGCACCAGTATAAAGGAAACACCTACTTTGAAGTGATGAAATAATAGGTTTTAAAAGTGCATCATCTCAACCAAATTTCACAGTACTTTTGTTTCCCTTTTTCCAGATTCAATCTCCATGCCCACTGATACAGACTGTGGGTTCATTTTGGGATTACAGGCTAAGAAACTAAATATGTACATATGTAACACTTCCAACAGTGCAATATTAGTGCTTAGAGGTCAGTAAACAAATGATAACTCTGTGAACATATTTTCTATAATATTATCTGGCAAGAGAGTTTATTGATAAGGCCTAAAGAATGATGTGACAATGTCGGTTGAGCAGCCTCACAGGGGGATGCACAGTGGAGCTGGAGGGTATTAAGCTAACTGTTGTGGAGATACTGTATAAGCATATCCACAGTGATTAAAAGCTTAAATACAAACAATATTGAACTTGGTGTATATTTTACTATTGACAATAAACAGTCAAGCCAGCCTTTTGAATTGCATATGATGCAGAAAGTATCTAGACTTATCTATTAAGTGATTTTCCAAAGGAATATTTCCTTAGTACAAAACCATGACTGGTCAGCTATGTTTTTTTGCTGCAAGTAGACTCCTATCTAAATATGACCTCCATCTAAAAAAGAATAGAAGATGGAAAAAGACAAACAAGCAGTCATCATCTCATCACTACAAAGATGTGAGGGGGCTGGCAAAGGGAACGTTTTTTCTGTCTGTGTTCAAACGTTTGCCCTTTTTTAGCTACAACACTGCAACTGCAACTAACATGAACAGATTATATCAATGTGCGGTCAAGCTGATGAGTTAAAAACATTGACATTCTTTTTGTTGTGAGTAACCAAACAGACCAGCCCATATTTCCAGCCACAAGTCCATCTTTAGTCAACACCAGCTCTTAGCAGGCCTGGTGAGCAGCAGATCCTGTGTCATTAGCCACACACTGGTTAGAGCTGACACTTGACTCACAGTCAGCCTGTAGCAACCAGCAATCAACAACAACACAAATACAGCACAGGAAGGCCAATGCCATAGCACAACATTTGTAGCCTTCCTGCAGACGTCTCATCCAGCTTGCCTCTGTGTGTAGGCTTATGACATTGAACATCTAACACTCATTGGCTGCCAGCTGCTTTCAATGGGTGCCTGGCGCCTCTCTCTTTAAGGGCTGATGAGAGAGAAAAAGAGAAACAGAGAGATGAAGAATGTCATCCCCCTTGAAAGACAAAATGATAAGTCATCGGGACTGTAATGACGGGGGGTGGGCAGAGAAGGGGCAGCGCAAGGGGGAGACAGATGAGCATTATAAAAATCAATCATCTTTTTTTGGGGGGGTAAACATCTACAAACAAAAAAATATGTTTCCAAATTTGATTTCACCCACAGGAGTGAAACTAGCGTCATTACACTCATGTCAAGCGCATCAATCAGATCGCTTGATTACTCACAAGCCATCGCATTTTTATTCTTGCTCAACTAATACTGTTCTCAAGGTCTACTAAACACCACTTCAATACAATGATGGCAAACAGCTCAACTCGAGAGCTTTTGCTAAGAGTGGCTTTTCTCCCAGGGAAATTGCTTAAGAGAAGGGGATCTATCCAAGTTGTTAGATGAGGCGTATCGATGCGAGAGCAGTATCTAGGAATCTTCTTTCACCGCTGACTGAGCATAATCAAACAGGGACTGTGCAAAGGGATGGGTGATCCGTGTTCAGAAGAATGGATAACTCTCCTTTTTACCTAAAAAATTCGGTTACTGTTTGAATGAAATGAAACCTAAAAGTACAACTTTTTAATCACATTTTTCTTTTTTTTCAGACTGTTCTGAGGCTATATTTGCGCATGCCTTCATGTTTGATCTCACACGTTATGTGCCTCTAAAAATTAAGTTTAATATTGAATTCAGAAGCACATTCGCTACTTTGTGTGCCAAGGAATTTTATCTCATAAATTGTGCTACAGCGCTGAAAAGGATTTAAAAAATTGCTGCAAGGACAACATTCTCAGAGTTTGGGATGCAGTCGTGTCTCATTGTCCCTCCCAAGACTGACTCATGGGGGTGATGTATACATGCCATGTGACCTTGAGTCAGGCCAAGCCAGTAATGTGTTTGGTTGATCATGCCCTGGTGTCACTACAGGAAATATCCTTCTGTAAATGTCAGGGATGATCCTCTACATTCAGGTGGCTCGTAATTTGGAAGCGTAAATTACAGCTTTCATATTTTACTGAGGTGTTTAATATGTCAGACTGGAGCGGATGAGCGGTTATTTATGCTTGAGAGCCAAGAGGCGGGGGGGGACATGTGGAGAAATATTGTCAAAGCCAAATCTCCACTATCCTCTATCTCCCGTTTTCTCTCAGTTCTCTATCTATCTCATTCTGGCCCTCAGCGTCTGTCTCACTCCCTTATTTTCACTCTTACTGAGAATACATTGACCTCAGACTTAAGTAAGCTCCACATCATTGATTAAAACAAGAGGGATAGCTAGTGTCAGGACAAGACAGATTTGCTCTTTAAAGCATTATGGATTACAGACATTTTAGAAGAAAAGGGGATTTCTGAGGCACTGGGGCTGCCGTTAATTCTGTCGAATGATTCATGAAGTATGGCGATCAATTAAATTAGAAGTGTCCAGTTACTTCTTCGCCTTCAGTATTTTTTGATATATGGTGTGATGACATGAGCTAATGGTTTCATCACTTTACCGCCCCAGCCTCAAATCTTATAATCTCCCTGATCAGTGCAATCGCTGAGAAAGATCTACTTTAGATCTTTGAATATCATGTTCCTCAAAGACGCAACATTAATGCTCTGTTAATGCATCAAAGTTGCAGATGATGACAGTTAAAATATGATTGAAATCTGAAATCTGAATGGTGAGAAGCCCGCAGTACTTAAAAAAAAAAGTTTTTTTTCTGTCAAGACACATTTCTGAAGCCTATACTATCAGAAAATGTTCATCCTGGGAGTGTGACCTTTATGTGAAAACAGCAGAAAGTCAGCCTTGTAGCATTCAGCCTGTCCTAATGCTCAAACATTGCTGTCTTTACAGGGGAGGAGAGTTTATCTGCTGTCACAGGAGTGTAGCACACTGTGGAAAATGAATTAGACAACATAGAGGAGGTGAGTGACGCAGAGTCTACAGAGGCTGTTTGAGGAAAGGGAATGTTATCAGATTGGGAGGAACTGCAGCAGGGTTACAGGAAGAGTCATTGAAGAAAAAAACATGATGTGTATTTCATGCTATTTTACAGCAAGTAAAAGACCATGAATTAGTCTAAGTATTTTTTTGTGTGCTTTACTTTGGAAAATAGTTGTATTCACTGAAGTATTAAGTTTTAAGGGCCAAAGTTGAGTTGAGTTATTCTCTAAATCTGTAGACAGAAAGTGGTTGGGTAAGCATTCACAGCCACAGTCTCATGTCTTGTCCATGCATGTACCATACTGTAACTGTAGAACCTGAAAATGCAGTAAACTGTGTTTGTGTGTGTGTGTGTGTGTGTGTGTGTGTGTTCATGTATATGAAAGCAAATTCCAGGAAAGGCACACATGTAATCATCTGAGCTGTAGAGGGGCTTGTGACTGTCTGACATCAGACCATGAATGACACAGTGAGCAACATCGTGTTTGCGTTGCTACAGCACACGGTCAAGTGACTAGCTGGTAATTTCTATGGAAGAAATTCCCCGAACAAACACCAGTGAGCTGAAAAAAGATGAAAGATCAGGGAGTGTCTTCAGTAGGAGCAGCTTAGTTCGGAGTGAGTGGGAAACTAAGAGGTGCTGATCCTGCATCCTCGCGTTTCAAAAAATGTCAAGTGTGAGAGAGTTTTCAAAGGAGTTTCTCTTGTTTTTGATCAGAGATCAGACAACCAGATTGCCTGTGACATGTCTGTACTACTGTCTTAATATCTTTTCAAAGCTGTGTTTCATCCTGACTGAGAGATAGCCGAGAGCTAAAGCTCCTCTGCCTCACCATGGGACATGAAATAAGTGTGACTTCAGGTTTTAAAGGTGTAAAGATAGAAACTGGGGTTTGCTCCCCCTCGCAACCAAAACAAACTACAAACATGCTTCATTTCCAGCTTGCGGATAAGTAGACTTATTTTTAAGTCACTGTCCTGTAGCAGTTTGTGCAGTGCAAAATGCATTACGTGCACAACCTAGTCATTCATTTCAGGATCATTCGTTTCCACAGGATATGTCAGATCTACACACTAACACTTACAATAAATAGTGCTCCTGCAGGTGCAACTTTGGCCCCAAAATAGACTAACATTCCTGGGGGGGGGGGGGGGGGACTTGCAGAGGGATTATGGTTCTCAGTGGCAATGAGTTCATAGAAACTGTATGATACTTTACAGCGTGTTGAACATATTATGTCTAAAAAAATTACTACAGAGAAGTAGGATAAGTACAAAATCCTTAAAATGGAATATAAATATCAGTTTTGGTGACAAAATAGTGCACACAACATGACAACAGCAGAATGTTCCATGTTAATATTTAAAAGAGTTTACCTGATATTTCTGACTGAGGGACCCCATCCAGAACGAATCCTTTCCCGCTATAAAACTGCCTGATGTCCGAACAACTCCTGGCTTTGCTGGTCCCTTTGTCCCCATAGGCTGGTACCGTAAGCGAGCACAATGCCACCAGAGCCGCTATGATGAAGGAATCCATCCCGGCCGTCTGCTCTATGTGAACTCGGTCAAGTGCAAATCCGACTGTGCTGAATCCTAAACGGAGCGAGAGACTCCACTGAAGTAGCCGCTTGTCAATCACAGCTGAGCGCTGCTGTCGTGCGTAAAATATCCTCCACCTTCTTTTATCCCTCCTGCCCTTTTAGTGCGTCTGTGGAGTCTCTTGGTGCTCTCCGCGCGCGCTGCTGTACGGCTCAGAAGCAGACTCTTCACAGAGCAGATGTCCCGTCTCTTCCCGCGACAGGACAGCAGGTTTTTTTTTTTTTTTTTTTTTAATTTCCCCCCCCAAGTAGTTCTGTCTTCTCACGTTGTGCCCAAAGATGCGTGCAGATCTCCTCTCTCGTATATCCCCTGTTGGGGTTGGGGTTTCTCCTATATTGGAAGAAGTAAGAGATAGAAGAATGGGGTTACGCAGTTACAGCTGAAATTATTTTAAGTCGCATCTGAAAATAGCTGTGCTGACGCGGTGCAGTCAGGTTCTCTCGCCGCGCGCCTACCGGCTCTGACGGCTCGTGGGGGAGCTGAGGAAAGAAATACGCGCAGGCAGCTACTGCACCGCAGACCGTTTCCAGCTTTCTGAACGATGCTATGCCAGCGCTACCACTCTGTTGAATGAGGGGAGGCGGGGGAGGGAGAGAGAGGAGTAGAGAGAGAGAGGAGTAGAGAGAGAGCGAGAGAGAGAGAGCGAGAGACTAAGCAGTCCTTCGTTTCCGTTTCATCATCTGATTTAAATGTTATTTTTAGATTTATTTTTGGAATAAAATGATCGTCAAACAGTGGAAGGGGTTGATTTTTGATTCTTTCGGAATCCTGAAGTGTCACTTGAAGTGTGCACGTGGTGTTTAGAGCGTCATCTGCTCCTCAGTGAAAGAATGTGCTCGACGCGTTCCAACAGCTTGATCACCACCAGCCAGGTGTCACAGGTGAACTGTGGGCGTGCCCTCGAACCCCAAGTACACGCCCATCTATAGGCCTACTACAGGTCAATGCTGAGTACACGTCTCCTCCATGCACTCCTGAATCTCCGAGTATCTGCATACAAGCACCATATCACTCTTTAAGACGCTAGGCGACAAGTCAGCACCTGCCCAGGTTACCTGTCACCTGCTCAATGCCTTCATTATCCCGGGTTCTGTACGAGTGTTGGAAACATCACTGAGTTATTTAAAGCTTGACTAAGCACTTAACCCTTTTTTGTTTTTTTCTTAATTTACACAGAACGTTGTTTTCTGATAGGAATGCTGTTTATCTATTCGGATTATGATGAAACCCATTCGACGCGTATTCATGTCTCCAGGGAAAATGTTCTGTTTATAAAGCAGGCTATAATTCATAGTTGGAATTTTTCTGTTTATTCATTACTGCTAAAGGGATCACTGACAATAATTTCCAAGCTCAAGGCCAAGGAAGCCAGTGCTTCCTTTTGATTGCCAATGGCAGTAATATGTCCAAAACTAATGCTTATTTTCTGAAGGGATGAGTTCACTCATTTCAGGTTGTTTTTAACCCAGATACCTATATCTACTGTATTAAGTAACAACAGTGCAAATTTCTACACTCACCATTAACAAAAAAAACTAAATCTAAATTCTTCACCCCTTCACCCATTGGCCATCGCTTGCACACTGTAGCGGAGTCACCTGCCAATCAGTGTAGATCTAAAGACCAGGGTCCACCTGAACTGTCCCAGCCTCCAGAGCTTGCTTTGCTTTCGCTGCTGACCCCACTCATGAGATAAACGCTCTCGTCCTCCACAGCTACTTGAAATTCCAGCAGTTTGCGAGGGTCATGTAGCCTATAATAACCATGCATATTAACATGCACAGTGGTAGGTATAAACTGTCTACTATGATAGTAGGAGCCCACAAGATGTACAGCTGATGTGATGTTACTCTTAGGATAAGTGTGTTGGATGAGCAGTAACCGGGCATATTGTGCTCTGCTCTTACTCCAAATAATGTGCCTCTTTAGTCATCTGAGTGTGTGAAATTAAAACAGACAGCGTTTGACGGTGACACTCCTGTGGGAGATGCTTTTTAAGGATTGTTTGCGGAAGAAGATGCCACCACACATTATCACAGTGACACATGGAAAAACTCCTGAGCTGCCTGAAATAACCAGAGACAAACACAAGTGAGAGGCAACAGAGAGAGAGAGAGCTAGAGAGAGAGAAAAGGCAGAGAAGAAAGACGGAGCCACATGGCAAGTAGAGTCATTTCCTGCCTCCAAATCATTCTATTTATGATGGCAGACATTGTTTATGAATACATTAGGACACTATCCTCTATAATTAGTCTGTTCCTCATGACTGGATGATTCCAAACAAATAGGACGGCATATCACATATCACTTACTGACAAATAGCTACACTGGGGTCCCTTGATGGCAGCTCTGAAATGAGTAAGCATGAATTACACCTTTGCTGTGCAATGTCAAGTGTGCTCGCTCATTGGTAGGTTGTGCATGTGTGCTCAGGCATATTTGGCACAACACCATTACATTGCAAGACTTTGAGAGTTGTGTAATTGTGCCAGACAGCACACAGAACCCACCTTTTGTAATGATGTATATTAAAGTTGCTTCACTTCTCTTGTTGCTGCAGGGGAAGTTAAGAACATGTGGCTGGAGGTTAATGAGTCTAGTGGCCTCAAAGTGTGTGTGTGTGTGTGTGTGTGTGTGATAATATGTCTGTCGTTATTATATATTGGCCTGTGTACGTATGACCTTTATGCATGTGTCTGAGCACTTTTTTTCAGTGTGTGTGTGGAATGCCAGTTTGACTGCATCCCACATGTGGCCATAGATCGGCAGTTCTGTTGGGGAAACTGATTGGCCCTCTGCTGTCTGTCTGGTGAGGGGATCGCGTAATTAGCGCTCAGTAAAGCCACAGAGCGGCCACGTTTTCTTCAGGCTGCCTCCCATTGAAGTTTTATTGGCTCTGACCATGAAAGGCTTTTCTAATGAGGAGCAGGATACCAGGGGAAGCTCGGGAGACCGGGGTGAACAGAGGGGAGGCAGAGTGGTAGCAAAGAGAGCGGAGAGTTCGGGGTGAGAGAGCGAACAAACTAAGCAACTGTCAGTTTAGTGTAAACACGTGGTAATTATGTGGGGAGCGTTTTTCAGGGTGTGATGAGGTTTTCTAGTGAAAATTACATTGCTTTTTAGACAGAAATACTACAAATGTTTTACCACTCACACTTACCTCATGGGACATCTCATGCAATGAGTTGATGCTGACAACAGCAATTAGAGCCTACGTCTTTGTTAAGTGTGGCATTACATCTTTTAGCTGTTTTCCACAATGGAAACATGTAGACCAGTGCCCTTCAGCTTCCCATGACCTAAAGGTGCAAGAACCAAAAACATGGTCTGATAGGATCTGTGATGCTTTTTCTACTTTGTTTTTTAAAAGATGAACAAATCATTGAATTACTTCAAAGTTGCCTAAGAACATGCAGCAGAGACAAACAATCCAAGGGCAAATGTTGGGTCCAAAAGCATATAAAAATAAGGAAAGGAAATAAAGATGTCTCCTTTAACCTCAAATGCACTCATTTACGATACTAACAGAAGGATACGGCATCAAGAAGACCAATTATTTTCATTACTATGGTTTGATGCTATAATGGTACCAGATGCATAAAAAAATTAACTTGTACTTTCTTGTTTTTTACTAATCCAAAGAATATCCCCCGTAATCACAAGATTCACAGCATAAATTTGTCAGGATTACTGCGGCCCAAAAATTAGCAATGGTTGATTAATTACTTATTGCACAAATTAACCGCTGTCAAAGTAAATAACTCAGTGTTTTGTCATTTTCTCACCCAATCTGTGCAATCAGAATTATTTTGAAACCTGATGCTGTATTAAACATTAGTGAAATTGCTTGTAAACAAGTAGAATGCCTTTATTTTGAAGCAGATACAGCAGATGGTGAAAACCTGGAGACTTCATGTGGATTTGGACAATGCAGGCACACCTTTGTGCCAAAGCCAGTATCTCTTAAAAGCAAGGGATGAAGTTATTACTTACACACAAGGAGGTGATGGAACACTCTTTTGAAATTCTTGTAATTCACATCATCTGCTGGCAGACAGGCATGCTCACCTGTCAGCTTATGTAACCACAATAAAATGATGCAAAGGAGGATTTCTGAAATTTTTATCGTTCTCACAGTGTAGCATCGAGATGCACAAGAACAGACCACCAATAACACACAATATCCATGGAGACATTAATGACACAAAGAGCAGGGTACAGCTAGAAGTTAATCACAAACACAGACCAGTTTCTTTTCACAAATAAAGTGCCTATGATCTGCTAGCAGGGCCTCAGATGAGTTTCTATGTAAATATCTGAGTACTGTTTCCACAGATGTAATCAGTCTTTAGAGGGAGATCATTTTGTCCTCTCTCTAAAACTAGTCTCATCATGGGCTCTTACAGATAGCATCGATTCTGCTTCGTTTCTGGGTTTTTATGTCACCATTAGCCTGAGTTCAGCACATTCAGCTGGAGTGCTGGAGTGTTTATGCATTACTCACCAAATCTCTCTTCTCTTTTTCTTGTTCATTTTCCCTTTTCTTCAGTCCACGTTGCTACTATTTTCTCTCTGCATGTGCACTCTGTTCATTCTTCCTCCTTTCTTGGTATATAGACCCCATGAGAACATGACATCTTGCTTTTATCCTTGCCTGTAAAACAAAAAGTAATGCATAAAACTTAAATTTAGAGTTGTTTTAATGCCCTTTCTCTTGGTGCCTGTCCCTTTGCTATTTTGCTTTGCTTCATCATCCCTTGATCACATTTGCCCAGCGTCTGTCTGTGCAAACAGCAGATCTGCATATGTCCTCATACGAAGCCCTCTCCCAGATTCCAGAGACAGATGATGAGAGAAAAGGAGAAAACTTGTCGGTAAGTGAAAAGGGTAGAGAGAAAGTATTGTAAAGAAAATGAGCAGTAGCAAGGAGGAAATGGAGGGAGGGGGTGAGCTTATGAGGTAAGATACGGAGAGAGTGAATATGATGATGGTTGACGGGGGGGTGACAGAGGAGTGAGTTGGGGAAATGTTGTAGAGAGGGATTGTAGATTCAAATTGGAGGGGAAAAAGTGACAGATACGAAGTGATAAAGCAAAGAGAGACATAGAGGGAAAAGGAAGGGGTTAGAATTAAGTGAAAACACTCATTGGCCAGCGTGGTCCTTTCACCGCATTCTTGTGGTTGTTTTTGTAAATAGACACATTTGTGGATAAGGATTGCCCCCTGTGGTGTGTTGTTTTGTGCTTTTGTGGACCTCTGTGGGCATCCTGCCACTTTTTCTGTTTAGTAATCTGGGCACATCCCTGTTTTTCTCATGCATATACAGAAAGGGCGAAAGAAAAACGTAGGTACAACTTACAATGCAATAAAAATAAAACATTAAAGCATAAAAAGCTAGTCTCAGAAAATATTATGCACCTGAGGCAGCCCTTAAAGTCTGAATAATGGCCTCTAACTGCAATGTGTGAATATTTGTTCATAAACAGTAGCATTTGACACAGATGGTGAAAATAATCTATTATTTATTTTACGTTGAAGTATCATTTTTTATA